TATTATTATAGTCTATCACAGATTCATTTATTTATTTGCTGCTTCCATAAGTATTTGGTGAAGACATCTGTTAGTTCACATCCAGGAATATTTGGGCCGTACTATTATTCATAGTCTTTGTTCTTCAGTCTGTACCTAGGAAGCTGAAGTCTCTCATCATGAGTTTCCCATAGGATTTCCCTCTAATGAGATTGGGCAGACTTCTGCCCATGTCCAAATCCAGCCCTGGAGATCTATAACAGATTCCCAGCACTACTTCAGCAGAACCTCTTTTGCCATCTTTCCCAAGAATGATTTTGCTTCAAAACATATTGCTTTATCCATGTTATCCCTTATTTCTGTACAGGCCATCATATCAATAACATACAATACTACGCTATGACCTTACCTTGCTATCCCTTGATGCGATCTTTCAATACTTGATTGCTCTTTGTCTGCAGCTCAGTCCTCTCCCAGCAGTCCATACATGTTTCTTGGACCTAGAAGCAGCAATCCCCAGAGTATAAATTGTCCCAGCATAATCCTTTTTGGATGACTATCTGGAGCTCACCTTTGTCTTCCTACCCTCACCATCGTTCCCTGTAGCAGGCAATCCAGCTTCACAAACAGCCAAGTCAGAACAGGTTTCTGCATGGCAAACTGCAGTGGCTGGCATGAAGTCCCAACGCAACTCCTGGGCAGTTTTTACAGCAGCATGTACTTGACAGCAGGAGATCAGAAAGGGCAAGATTCATAGCATTCCTCATCAGCATAATTCAGCAGAGATGAAAATCCCTTTGCTGCTGCTGCCAGAGTTTGAAACCGGTGTTCTCTCTTTCCGGATTTTTAGCATTTGACCCCTGGACGCTGCAGGAGACATCCAGCACAGCCCAGAGCACATGGGGCAAAGCAGCACTGCAAAGGACTACGGGATGTCCACTCAGTTGTGTTGTGCACATAGTTCAGGGAAATCTGCGTGGAAGCACTGAATTGCGATGAAGTAACAGGTAGCTGGTGCGGTGTGAATTCATCAAAACTGTTACACTGAAACTCTTCCTGGAAACATTGCACGCTTTGCGGTGAGCACGCCATTCGTATAGCCAACTGCTTCGATTCTAGTTGGGAAATGCGCAGGGAGAGGTGCTTAATTCTCACCAGACGCACAGTTCTGCATGAGTAGCATGTTTCTGTTTGAAGCCAACTGCACCTAAGGTCTACGAGCAGGACTGTCAGATCAGGACCAAGCTTCACCATCAAAGCAGCATAGGGAGAGATATAGGGCATATCCCTGGATGTATTCAGCTCTACAAGTGCCACAGAAGGATTGGTTTTATCCTATCATTACAGACACCTCCATACTTAGCATTTTAAAATTCTCTTTGGAATTCTGCAACAGTGGGAAATGGTTTGAAAGCAACCATTAATGCCTGGCAGAAACAAACATCCCCTTAGGGGTGGCGACAAATTTGTTTGATGCCTATGGTAGTGTTAGAGTGATGATGTAGCACGATGGCCCAAGAATGATGTGAGAGAGCATTTCTTAGGCTGATATCTTTTGTGGGACCAACTGTGCAGCTGGGATAGTTAGGCAAGACATTGACTGCAAGAGTCGTAGACCCGAAGAAGAATGTGTCTTGTGTACAGCAGCTTGTCTGACTCTACCCCAACTCTGCAGTTGGTCTAATAATATCCATCATCCAAAGAAATCCTTGCCTCTTTAATGAGTCTATCATCTCTACCCCTTTGTTATGCTAAATAAGAATTAACTTTTCCACCAACCGCTGTTAAGACCAAGACAAAGAGAGGGCAGATACCAGAATCAGGCAAGCTGCTTTAGTGGCTGTTGGAACAACAAAACAAGATTTCTTAACTTGTTGGGCACTGCTTATTGAGAGACGGAGTGAAACGAGTCAGCACCAAAATAATACAGATAATCATTCAGGCGTTAAGCTTCCCAAGCACGGTCTTGGCTGGCCAGTCAAGGAAGAGAAGATACAGCATGGAGAAAACACCGAGTGCTGTAGGGCAGAGTTCAGAGGAAAACTGAAGTCCAAATTGGGCTTGTTGGGTGATGGTCTCAAGACTGATGATGCCTTATGTTCAGACATATAGGTTTGTGAAACACGTAATACAACTTGTGTTCGCACCTTTGCTTCAGAAACGCTCCAGGCCCCACAAACCAATGATGGAAACACCAGCACTTCGATATAAAAAGTTTGTTGTTCCAGTAAGAATCTAAGCCCATATTTCACCTTTTCTTCCCCAAAGAACTCCTGTTCTGTAGCCAGTAAAGCTTCTCTGTACCAGGCACTATCTGAACTAGTGGCTGCAGGAAAACATTACACTGTAGGTTGTTCCTAGAGAGCCTACTAAATCTCAGAAAGAAGCCAATATCAAATATTGTTGGACTTATAACATTAGAGGGTTCTTGGGCTAGGGTTTTTGGGGTTTTTGGACACACCTTGCTGGGGTTATTTGACCCCAGCAGTCTTTCCTGCCCAGAGCAGAGGGGCTGGACCCAATGATCTCACAAGGTCCCTTCTAGCCCGAAACTTCTCTGAATCTGTGAACATTTCTCAGCAGGTTGTTTACTACCTTTGTTTTGTCAGGGAGATTTTCGGGCTAATGAAAACAAATCCATCACTGAATCAAACTCACTCACCTTTCATAGGAAAACAGCGCTGGAAAGAACATCACAAAGTCATCTAGTCCAGCCCCTGCTCAAGGTAGGATCACCCCTGACAAAAACCATCCCAGGCAACCGTCTGTCTGACCTGCTCTTGAAAATGTCGATAGATGGAGAGATCACAATTTCTCTAGGTAGCCTGTTTCAATGCTTGACCGCCCTTAAAGTTGGAAAGTTCCTCCTAATGACCAACCTTAATTTCCTTTGCTGCAGCTTGAAACCATTGCTCCTAGTCCTGTCCCCTACAGCCAGAGAGAAAAGTGCATCTCCATCCTCTCTACGATCTCCACTCAGGTATTTGAAGACTGTTATCAAATCCCCCCTGTCTTCTCTTCTCCAGACTAAATAACCCTAGTTCTTTTAGCCTTTCCTCATAAGTCATGCTTCCTGGGCCTCTAGTTATTTTTTTCGTTCTCTGCTGGACTTTTTCCAAGCTGCCCATCAGCAGCAGCAACCCCTCATGGTTGACAATGATCACTTCCACGGGTCAAGTAAAGGGTTGCAGATGAGTCCATGTATGACTAAGGTTAAAGGGAGGGTTGAACCACAAATTTCTCAATCTTGTTTCCTTTCCTTCCCTTTCTGTCGTTTTTCTGCCTCCAGGGCAAGACAGTTTTCCTTAAAGTAGGAAAGACGTTGCCATGTAGCCCTGTCCCGGGCTAGTTTCTCCCAATTTGGGACGCCAATGCCACACTTTTTAATGTTCACCTTGAGGGTGTCCTTGAAGTATTTCCTCTGGCCCCCGCGTGTCTGTTGTCTTTGACTGAGTTGGGAGTAGGGCAGCTGTTGAGGTCAATATACATCAGGCCTGCACACACAGTGCCCTGTCCAATGCAGCAGATGTTGAATAATCAGCGCTTCCATACTGATGGTGTTAGCGTCAGCCAAGACACTGGCATTTGTGTGAAGGTCCTCCCACGTTATGGGATGGAGTTCAACGCAGACAAGCACAAGGTGCTGCATCCAGGGAGAAGGAACCAGCAACACACCTATAGGCTGGGGAACACCCTTCTCAACAGCACAGTGTCTGAAAAGGATCTTGGAGACATTGTTGACTCCACGATGGACACGGGCCGCCAATGTGAGGAAGCAGTCAGGAAGGCTAACCGCACCTTGTCGGGCATCCACCGATGCATCACGAGCAGGTTCAAGGAGGCGATCCTCCCCCTCTGTGCGGCACTGGTCAGGCCGCAGTTGGAGTACTGCATCCAGTTCTGGGCACCGCACTTCAGGAGGGATGTGGACAGCATGGAGAGGGTTCAGAGGAGGCCACTCGCATGGTCAGGGGGCAGCAGGGCAGGCCCTACAGGGAGAGGCTACGGGACCTGAACCTGTTCAGCCTCCACAAGAGAGGGCTGAGAGGGGATCTGGTGGCCACTTACAAACTCACCAGGGGGCAGTTTACAAACCCACCAGGGGGAACCAGCGAGAATTGGGGGAGGCTCTGTTCCCCCGGCACCACCCAGGGTTACTAGGAAGAATGGCCACAAATTGATTGAGAGCAGGTTCAGGCTTGATATCAGGAGACATTACTGTACAGTCAGGGCTGCCAGGCTCTGGAATGGGCTCCCAAGGGAGGTGGTGCTCTCCCCTACCCTGGGGGTCTTCAAGAGGAGGCTGGGTAGATACTGGCTGGGGTGATTTGATCCCAGCACTCGTTCCTGCCCAGGGCAGGGGGTCGGACTTGATGATCTGTTCAGGTCCCTTCCAAACCTAGAAAATATGAAACTATGACCCTGGCCCTGCCCTCCAGTGTCTGCAATTCCACCCAAATGTGTCATCTGCAAATCTACTACGTGTTCACTCAATCCCATCATCCAAATCGGTGGTGCTCATGGCTGGCCTCCAGAGCTGTGTCATTTGGCCCATGGGGCCCCCCTGAGGTCCAGCACATTGGCAGCAGGGAAGCAGCAATTAATACTGCCACCACTTCCTCACCGCCAAATGTCTGGACCTGGGGGAGAGCCCTGCAAGTTGGAAAACGTGGCCCTGGTATGCTGCCGCAGGGTCACTCCGCAGCCAAATGTGGGCGCACAGGCTGCCCCCACGTGGGATCCTGCCTGTGGACTGACCCAGTGCTACTCACCCAGCCCACAGGGCCAGACAGTTGGGCACCACCTGTCCAAATGATTAACGAAGATATTAAATAATAACAGCAGATCTATTTGACAGTGGTGCCGGTAATCAAGTACATCTGCATTTAAAGGCAGGGCACTCAACTCAGCTAACATTCAAATGGTAAGTTTTGCTGCAGTACTAATGCTCTAGCATAATTTACCAACACCAAACAGAAGGTTACTACAGTTTTCTTGCACCATCAATACAACGAAACACATTTTAAGGGAACATCTTTTATTTCAACCCTGTCTCATCATTACTAAAAACACCAAAAAAATCCAACATGCCAAACAGACTGTGGATTAACTTTTTAAAAACACTTTCTCACATTTATTCCAGTGAAGAAGCCCTCTTCAGGTTCTCTCTCTTGAATTGCTGATTAGGGCATTCCCTACCAATTTATAACTCATTGAAGCTAGGTTAAGTTACAAGTGTAAAATTATTCTGTTCCCTATGCCAAAATACGATATATAAAATGCTTTTGTCAGAACTTCCACTTCAGGGAATGATTTTTATTTAGGCATTTTAAACTTTAATATTCTAGTTGAACAAGCATAGCAAGTTGACAAATAAAATTTCAAACACCGATACAAACGTCATATACAAAAGAGATCCATTTTGCAGAATTTGCTTAAGTGTTCTCTAAATTCAACTGATAAAAAGAGAAGTTTCATTTATCACCCTAGAAATACCAGACAGGCATAACCAGGATTCAGTCCTTTCGCATCTTTTGCTGTGGTCAGAATTAATCCCTTCATCCTTTCAGCCTCACCCATTAGCACGGACGGCTTGCTAACTATACACATATCTACACAGCTGCACATGAAAAGAGTCCTTTAATAACCTAAAACTATTTAAACTCCATATTTCTAGATATGGATACAAAATAGCTCTGTGGTTTAACTAAATGCTTCTGTATTTCACATCACTTCCTGAAACGTTTGAAAAGCGGGTGGATATGCTTATTGGAGGCCGCCTTGCTCCGTGAGGTGTGGTATTCCATATAAACCGTGTCGTCTGCTCCAGACATGGAACTCATTGTGCCTGCACGCCGGGACACCTACAGAAAGGGGAGGAAAAAGAAATCACAATTCCTGAGTAACGATATGCATCACCCCCATAACCTACTGCCCCCAGATGTCGGAGTAGCTAGATAAATGGGGACAGCACCGATTTTAATCCCAAGGCTCTGGACACACACAAGTATCTTGATTACTGGTATAACTCAAGCTAATCCCGTCTTCACAGATATACCAGGGCACCCCTCAAGCACAGAAACTCTTTACACATGCATCATATATACGCCTCTACTTGCTTAAGTATAACAAAAACGATGGATCTGAAGACCTCTCAACAGATTCAGAATTCATAGGGCATTCCAGCACATCATCGTTCAATCAATCTTTAATTACGGACGTGGCGTCCTTTTAACTCAGGACTTAGCAGTGCTTTTCAATTTGCTATTTGGGGCAAATTATTTTATATTCTATGTTAAAAAAAATCCTGAAACTTCTCCTCAAGAACATATGGAGGTGGTTCTCTTGATCATCATAGATAATTGGCCCTCTGAAGTCCAACATTTTCAACGTGATGATATCCAAGAACATCAGTGCACTTGGATAGAACGTGCACGTTATAAAACTTTGCTTTGGTGAGAATTTAACACCCAGCAAAATCCATATCTGCCATCTGTCTTCAAGCGTGCAGAAATAACAAAGTTTGAATTTCCTCACGCGTCTCATTTCTCTACAGTGCTTTACAGCTAGCAGAGTTAGGACCTTGCTATCTGTGAAGATTAGATGGAAGTAAAGGAGTGTTTCCAACGATCTGCCTGTGCAACTGGCAGGGAACTGTGGCACTGCTGCGATGCAGAATTAAGATGAGAGGGGCAGCCTGACACGGTGGTGTCTGCTGTCACCGGTGTAGGGACACGACAACCTTTCTGCTTACCTGAGATGACTTGGAGCCATACTCCCCAGCTACCACCTCTTCCTCAGCATCCAGGTCAGATGCTTGCAGGACCTTCTGGAGAAGCTGCTGCTGCTCTTCTTTGGATGAAAATGCAAGGTCTTCTTCTTCCATGCCCGCAAGCTTCGTGATCACCTGAGGGACAGAATGAAGCAGAGGATGCAATTTTTCCCTTTCTGGTTTAATTAAAAAAAAATAAATAAAAAGGTATACTCCAAGCCAAAGAATATCAGTCATGCTTCTGTGTGAGCGTTGATAGCATACCAGCAGTCCTAACAGCGTTGATTTACTGCTAGTAAAAATACAGGTCATACAAAATGAATGATATAGTCCATCTGATCTGCCACATTCATGCTAAAGTAAAGTCTTACCAAGGCAAGAGGTAGAAGCATAAGCCAATAGGCTAAGGATTGAGAGAATGCCTCATTTGGCCCAAGGGTGTAGGTTGTAGCTGTGTTGGTCTAAGGACATAGGCAGACAAGGTTCCTTGGGTGAATCTGATATCTTTTATTAGACCAACCTAAATACTTGGAGAATAGTTATTAAGCAAGCTTTCGGGTTCAAAAACCCTTCGTCAGGCTAAGGAAGTTTCAGCAGTTGGTACGTGCTCCATCCAGGAAGAGCACACACCAACTGCTGAAACTTCCTTAGCCTGACGAAGGGTTTTTGAACCCGAAAGCTTGCTTAATAATTATTTGCCACCTATTTAGGTTGGTCTAATAAAAGATATCAGATTCACCCAAGGAACCTTGCCATTTGGCCCAATGCTTTATATGCCAGTATGACCAGATAAGTGGCATTTACCCCAGTTGCACATTCACACCAGCAGAGTTTCAGATCATGCTTTCATCCTTTGGAGTTATCCGTTTATCCCCATTCTGTTAGTTTTCAGCATTATTTCCTACTTTCCTGGGATGTGACCCAACGTGTCATTGTAGTGAGAATTTCAACATACACCCTCCCACCTTGATTAGGAATAGTAAAGGCAAACCACTTAATTAAGTTCTAAGGATCTTGATTCACTTTATACACAGGACGATGCTTGTAAGACCCTAATGGTCACTCCCATTCTTACGTCTCTATATATTTACCGCCCAGCACGTGAATATAATCAAGCACAATCGAGTCTTTTTCCAGGCATTTTAGTATTTAGTTAGAACAGATGCAGATGCTAAATTGCCACTCTCACCTCAAATCCTCCTCTTTAGAAGAGCTGAATCAGAAGCAAAGTGATACAAAACCAAACCACAGCGCAGGTTAACAGATTAAAAACTGGTCAATACATTTCAAAGTGTAAATGAAGAACCATTGTCCAGCAAGCGTGTTTCTGGTGGTGTCTCTTTTGAACATTTGAACAAAAGTCATTACTGATAACAGTTGCAGATAACCAGGTAAGCAGTAAAGAAGATGGGTCACTGCCACAGCTGATCCGGATCAGCTGGCAAACTGGCTGCAAGCAAACAAGGTGTTTTTTCAGTGCTTAGAAGTCAAGGTAGCTAATCAGTTGAATGGGAGCTCTGAGTGCTGCTGTGCCCAAGAGGTTTAATGCAATTTTGGGATGTGAGATTTGAAATAGTAACCTCCATTTGGCACCGGCGTGAAGTATCACGTCCAGTTGAGATGTCTGTGCTTCAGAAAAGATAGAGTGACTGACGGTTGAACTCACCGATCAACGGACTGAACTGTCCCTTGCAGTCTCTCACAGTATGAGGCATGTTTTCCAATCCTTTAATTATTCTCATGGCTCTTCTCCAAACCATCAAGTGATCAACCTGTTTGCCTTATCAAGGAATACCACCGTATCAGTGTGAGCACCTCTCTCTGCAATGCGATGCACCAGGAGGGTGTGCCGCCAGAACCAGGAGTTCACTGAGCCTTGTGGCTGATGTAAAGACAGTCAAGACGGCCATCTCAAACGTATTTAGTTAGTCTATAAGGTGCATCTCTACCCTGCCTTCCGCCCGGCTTCAGACAAACACGGCTCTCTCTGATGATGCTCAGCCAGAATTCTCTCTGCCGCTACGGAGCTATCAGGATCAACGTGGGTGCACATTACCCTGGGAGGGGAGGCAGGGGTCAGTGGAAATGCAGACAGATTAGTACAAGCTAAGGATCCTGACCTCAGGCCTCTTCTAGAACAAGGCCTGGGCACTTACCTTTGGTGCCAAGCAGTCTATAATAATGGGATTTTCCCCAAGGAGAAAATACTGATCACAGAAAAACTCTTTCCTTACTTGCCAAATCATCACAGTCTCCTGGGAGAGGAACGCCACTGGTGCTGTCCCGTGCAGCTGATACCATGCCCATGGATGGACTGCCTCAAGCAACCCAGGGTGATAATAAACAAGCAGCAATACTTGTGGCGGGGTCCGGTGTCACGGAAGAACTTTACCAAGCAGATTCTCACAACAGGTAGGAAGATGGTGCAAGCTAGCCTGATCCTTTAATTATCAAGTTGTCCATGAAACAATATCCTCTTGGAGCCATCTGTACCTGGGCTCTCTTCAGGGGGTTCGACCGCCAATTCAGCAATGACAGGATGGAGCTGGAACAGGTGTTCCTGTGCCTGGTCATCTGATGTCTCACAGGGTGATACAGTCTTGTTAGCCAGCTTCATAATGAACCTAAAAAGTCTACCTAGTGGTGTTGTGGGCACATGACAATGTGATTTATAAATATGAGACAGGTCTGATTCCGGATAACAGCACCAACATCAGTGACTAAGTCAATGAAGCAAGATTCAAGCTGGGGAAATATAATTTTGCTGATCTGGAGTTTAGGGATCTTCTGGCCTCTACTGTCCTCTGGATTGAGACCATTAGGCCCAGTTATCCAATAGGAGCAGTAAGAGGTTCAGATTGGGGCGACTTCTTGACCGAGCCTGTCTTGCAGCAGTATTTCAGTCCAGTTTTGGACTGTCCACTACAGAAAGGATGTGGAAAAATTGGAGAGAGGCCAACGGAGGGCAACAGAAATGGTTCAGGGTCTGGGGGACAGGACTGGTGAGGAGAGGCTGAGGGGACTGGGCTGATTGAGTCTGCAGAAGAGAAGACCGAGGGGGATTGAATAGCAGCCTTCACCTCCCTGCAGGGGGGCTGCAAAGAGGATGGAGCTGGGCTGGTCTCAGTGGGGGCAGATGGCAGGACCAGGAGCAATGGGATCAAGGTGCAGCAAGGGAAGTTGAGGTTGGATATTAGGAAACACTCTCTCACGAGGAGGGTGGTGAAGCACTGGAGCAGGCTCTCCAGAGAGGTGGTGCCATCTCCATCCCTGGAGGTGTTTAAGACCCGGCTAGACAAAGCCCTGGCTGGGGTGATGTAGTTGGGGCTGGGCCTGTTTGGAGCAGAGGGTTGGACTAGATGTGACCTCCTGAGCTCCCTTCCAGCCCTAATGTTCTGTTATTTGTCTAAACCAATGGCTCTCAACCTTTTTGTACTCAAGAAACCCCTCACTGGACTTGAGGCACCTTCTACAACTTCTGTGAGTTGAGTGGCACACAATTTCAAAAATGAATTTATAAATTACAGTGCTTGTCTCCTTGCAGAGGGGCAGGGACAACCCTGAGTATCTGCGAATCTCTTCACACCTCACTTACCTTACACCTCGTGGCACCCTTCAAAGGATCTGGCAGCACCCCAGTGTGCTGTGGCACCCTGGTTGAGAATCACTAGTCTAGACAGAAGTAGATACGAAAGCCTCGTCTCGTGGGGTGTGGTGTGACAACGGTGAGGTATTCGGGGAAGACTCTCAGCGCGGTGGGGTGACTAAACAGGAGCAACAACCACTGGCCTTGGCTGCACTGTAAATCTCAAACCGTCCAGGGGCCAAAAAGAACAGCGCGGAGGTATGAACCATGGAGGAGGCTGCAAACCAAGTGAGCTGGAGAGAAGGGATGATGGGCATTAGCATTTCTGTCCAAAATCCGAGGAGGCGTATGGATTTGTTCAGTCTTCACAGGTCCAGGATAGGATGAGGACCTGCCCCTTTTTCTCTGGAATATCAGGAGCGGGAGGGAGAGAACAGGAGTTGAAGCCTCTTCTCCTGGACTCTGGCAGCACCTGTTCTATGGCTCCTAGGTGAAGCAGGGAGGCCACTCTGAGAAGGCTGCTGCTGAGAGTAGCTTGATATCTTCTGCCTTGCTTGTCTTTGGGGCACAGATGTTAATGCCTCACAAAGGAAGTGCTGCTTTGAGAGCTGCCATCATCACAAGCACCGAGTCCGTGGTTCTCAACCTTGTTTGGACTTGAGGCACCCCTGGCCAGACACAAGCCCCCCTTGGAAAGTGCCAGCTCTTAGTTTTCACTCTTTTTTTGACTACAGAAAAGTAACAGAGCAGGTTTTCTGTTGTAAGAACTCAGAAAGACCAAACTCTGGATTTCTATTTGAAATCTTGGGGCTTATCCTGTGAACCATGTATCCACACCCAAGAGCGCTAACACTGCCATGACACCCTGGTTGAGAATCACAGCACTAAATAAAGAAATCTGCACCCCTACAAGGCCACATTTCTATTGTCCTGTGCACCTCCTAGGAATACAAGAAGCATGAAGCTACTGGAAACAACCACAGTGGCTATGGATGTAAGCTGCCATGTCTGACACATCCACTACTCAACCGTTACGCACGCCTACCACAGCCCGAAGGTGAACAAATACTTGAACACTGATATAAACCAGCCGGCTCTGGGTAGCAACGGCGATGCTTCTGACTAGTCTTATAAGGAGTCAGAATGTATATTTGCCAAATTTCCACTGCCAGCTCTGCTGGCTGCACTGCATGACCCGGCACACTAGACGGGCGCACAAAGTGCCAAGTGGAGGCAGCGTGGAGCTCGAGCAGACCAACAGACCAGCCTCACAGCACTTGCTCAGCTTGTAGGGAGAAAAGGTTGAGCACTGCCACAGTAAAGCATTCGCAGGACACCGATACACACCCTGTCACACCCAGCAACGAGGAGGACGACCCACCCAGGACACCAAGCAAAGCGTTTTACTTGAGTCTCCATTCTCCCACTTGGCGCACTGCTGTTTGCAGACACCTGCTTTCAAGACACCTACGGCCAGGTCACGGCCACCCCATTTATGTGGGATCAAACTTCCATGTAATTGTACTTCCTCTGCCCCTCTCCCCAGCTTCTGGCAGTCAAAATGCTGCATCCACAAATGCTGTAAAATACTGCTTCAACCCATCCTCTAGATCAACGAAATACAGTGTTGTTACGGCGACAGCTGCTGTTGCCAAGTGCCAATTGACAACTAATTGCACACTTGACTATTTTCAAAAAGTATTTCATCTGTCCAAGCTCCCAGCCTCGATGATCTGACCAGCACACACGTTAGCTGTGCTCCTCTTAGAGGTGAACATTACCTTGAAACTGTACCCTTGATCCACCAGAAACCTTTGCCGTTTGGTTGAATACGCCATTTCCTGAGTGTCTTGCGATACCAGAGAATAAAAGAAGGCATTGTATTCCTCTGCCACGGTCCCTAGGAGACAAGAGACAGCGGATGATTAGTTGGCTTGAGATTAGGACACTGAACCAAGGATAAAAAAAGACTGCACCCAGAGCAGGCGTATGGCTCTCATTTTAACAGTATCACTTTTCTGAACACGCTTTAAAGATCAGCGGCGCGTATCCCTGAAGGTAATGTGAGAAGTCGTTAAGTGCCGACACACGTGCACGGAAAGTCTTACTGCCTGCTGCTGGTATCTGCAATGGCAGCAGCCAACGGGAAATGCTCTGCAGGATCTAACTCCGCTGCACGGGTGTTAAGTACGCAGCTTGTTGCAGTATTACGTGTACCAAACAGGGTAAAAACAAAATGCGATAAACATCGCGTGGGTGCTGGCAGAACGCAATCGAGCCAATACAGAGAAGAGTCTTAGGGCCTCTCTACACTTGCAGGTAAAGGCATGATGGGATCTAATCCGTGATCTACACAATCAGGCCTCCTACTACGCCACACGCACGTGGCAGGAAGCACAACTGTGGGTCACACATTAGATTCCACTGCACCTTGCTGCCAGTGCAGCAGGAGCCTGATCCAGCCTCCACCAGCACCGGCAAGAAGCACGTTAAATAAACGTGCAAATTAAAGCCGGATAGCAACCAGCTATAAAGTTAGCACACATTCTGGAGGTCTAACTTTATAGCTGGTGGGACCCTTTTATGGCATGATGGGTACCCTGCACATGTAGCTGGTCTTAACTGTGCAACAGCTGCAGTGTGTGTGTGTGGGGGGGCCTTACTAACTGAACAGGAGACATCTGCTCAGATGTGGCACAGAAGCACAGCTACTGAAAATGCAGAATCATGTAGGCTATACGTATCTGTACATGGGCAACAGGCTTCCTGGAGCAAAGGGAATAAAGCAGCGTCTCCGGAATCTGGTACCACCCAAAGTTTCACCTACCAGTGACAAGGGCACATGCCTTCCAGGTGGACTTTCAAGCCCATACTGCACTGCATGAACCCTATGCTACGGGAACCACAAACTGCACATTCACCAAGGACTGAATCTGCTCGTCTTAAAGAGAAGCAGGGTTCCACACAGCATCTTCCTGGACACGAGGCACTTTGCATGTGCTCTCTCAAACCAACCAGCAAGATCTAGGAAACCACGTTTAATTTTCAAAAGTAGCATGGGTGCTTTTAAAAGCACTGCTGTTTAAAGAGAGAAGCATTTAGGGTAACACTACAATATCATTTTTATGCTAGGATCTGGGGTTCAACTGATAAAGAAAAACCTCAAGTTCCCTCCAATTCTTTACATACAGATAACTGTAGTCCATTAAATCAAACTGCATTTACTCCTACACAAATCTTCACTGATAGATGTGGCAGCCTTTATTAGTAATAAATACATAATTTCAATACAATATCAGCAACCAACCCACGTGCTACGTGCTGACATAAAGAAATATTTCTCCCCAGTAGGCAAAGTCGGGGGGGAATAAGCTTTGCTGCTGTTCAAGAAAAAGCAAGAAAACCAGGCTGTGCAGAGCAGGGTGGGGAATTCAGTGCGACAAGGGTCCTCCCAGGAAATAAATGCCTTGCCAGCAGCTCCCTCACTTATTTCAGGAGGGCTCCAGCTCAAACGTCTCCATGGACCAGACCTCAGCAGACAGGCACAGAGAAAAATGCTTCCTTAGGAAACCTCAGTCCCAAATGACTTTGGGCTTTACAAGCTAAAACCAGCGCCTTGACTTGCTCCTGGAAGCTCACTGCAAGCCAGGCTAATCCCAGGACACTGATCTGACGTGCTCCCAATGTGCAATTCGACTCCCCCGAAAGACCTTGGCATTCAGCTCTTGCTCCAGCTTCTCAATGGCCCAAAAGATGTTTCCTCCCACTGCCTCCCGTGCATTACAGCTGTCCCTAGTTGTGAGGTGAAAAAGGCAGAAATAACTTTGCAAGTCAACCTTGGGCAAAAAAGATCATGTTTCTCACGCGAGGAGAAAAGTGAAAGAAAGACTCATCACTACAGCTGATGCTTGGCCATCTAGAAGCAGCCCAAGGTGCCCCCTCATATTGGGACTGGATGCACTCCCCCGAGAGATGCCAGCCACGGGACACTGAAATTTTTCTGGTCGCTTTCCCTATCTATTGCAGTGTGTTGGCATCACGTCACAACCAGTTAAACTCTCATCCAAACCCCAAGCTCACGTAGGAACAATGGTACCCTATGGAGAGACCCCTTGGAGCAAAGGTCGCTGGCCTCCATCCACTTCTCAGGTTCTCTTCAGACAATGGGAGAAGCATTCAAGATCTACAAGCAAGTCAAGGCTTATCAAAAGCACCCTAGAGCCTTGAGAAGCAGCACGTGCCGAGTCTTCGTCCATGGCTAAGAAATCACCGACTAGTTCTACGTGTGCCTTTTCTGCTCCAGGCAATAGCACAGTGCGGTCCAAGGAAAACTCAATAATCAAGAACAGTCAGAGCTGCCTCGAGGCAGCCTTCACTGTGGCCCTCCCCAGGCTGCTGGTACTTTGAGCTGGTGTCTTGAACTCGTGCCTCACCACAGTTTAAGAACGACTGACCCCATAGGGAAATCCCAATTCCAACCAAGGATGGACATACCCCCGTGGCTGGCCTTCAATTCTCAGGCTGGGGCAGAGAAAGCCCTGTGCCCCTCCCTCAACAACCTCCATGCGAGACACCAGCAGGAA